TCTACTTCTTGGAGGTGGAGGTGGCCCACGTCTACCACTTTCAAATGATGGTTTGGTGGCTTGTTCCACTTTGATGGCTTTTCCATCTAATGACTATAAAAAAAGATATGGTTAAATCAAGATTTAAAAATAATTTGCACATTTATGCACTAGGACACTAACAGGTCCTTCAAAATGCAGTTATGGATAAGTGTTGCTCATTAATTAGTCGAAGAAAAAACACTGCAAATACAATCAGTTTATATAAATGGGGCTTTTCCACTTAAAATTCTTAGTACTTAAAAATGATACTGATAGGCCAGGCACGGTGGCTCAAGCCTGTAATCCTGGCACTTTGGGAGGCCGAAGCAGGTGGATCACCTGAGGTCAGGAGTTGCTGTTTGGTAAAATTTAAAACAAGGCCAAGTAGATGACAGCTTGTTATCAAAACTAAAAGCCAAGCTATCAAAATATGATTTAGGGATCTCAAGATAAAATGTATCATGATGGCAGGGCGCCGTGGCTCATGCCTGTAATCCCAGCACTTTAGGAGGCTGAGGCAGGTGGATCACTTGAGGTCAGGTGTTTGAGACCATCCTGGCCAACATGGTGAAACCCCCGTCTCTACTAAAAATACAGAATCAGCCAGATGTGGTGTTGGATGCCTGTAATCCCAGCTACAGGGAGGCTGAGGCAGGAGAATCACTTAGAACCCAGGAGGCAGAGGTTGCAGTGAACAGAGTTCACACCCTTGCACTCTAGCCTGGGCAACAGAGAAATACTGTCTCAAAAAAAAAAATGCATCATGTAATGACAACTATTTTGAACCGAGAGTATGTTAACAGCATAAGAGATAATTCACTACTAGATTTGGTTCTGGAATTACAGAATATTCTTTGGAAGAGGATCACAAATGGGTAGGATCAGTGGGTCCCAGACAGGCACATAGTGAAATACAATGAAAACTCAAAAGCTGTCCTAGTCCAGACTGGCGCAACTACATGTTATTTTATGCACTAGTAACAGGTTATCATCCATTGTGTAGACAATCTCACCTTTCCATTCATGTCTCTGGCTGCATCCTTAGCGTCTGCTGGGCTTTCGAAGGTGACAAAAGCAAATCCTCTTGATTTGTTGGTTTCACGGTCTTTCATCAAGAGTACTTCCACTATTCGTCCATATTTGCCAAATACTGCTTCAAGAGCTTTCTCATTTGTTTCCGTATTAAGCCCACCAATGAAGAGCTTTCCTGGGCGATCTGCTTCAACCATTTTTTTGTTTTGTTTTGTCGGTAAGTC